GACTAGAGATGTTGTTCACTGGTAGACACTTGCCTAGCATGCATGAGCCTTGTGTTCAATCCTGGGACTACACGGTGCATGCTGTAAACCCAGCCACTCCAGAAGCTGAGGCAGGAGGATCACAAGTTCAAAGCCAACCTCAGCAATTTAGAGAGACTCAGTCTCAAAATAAAAATATAAAAGGGTTGGGGACACAGCTCAGTGGTAGAGCACCCCTGGTTTCAATCCCCAGTATGGGTTGGGGGAAGAGACAGAAACAAAGTAAATAATGAATTTTACTTGGAGAATTTTCCCCTAGGCTCCAAGGTTTCCACATTTTTTAAGGTTTTCTTTTTTTGAAAAAAATTGTAAAATGTCTGCAACAATTGCCTCCCACCAAACAAAGAATGTTCCTCATTTTTCTTTCAGTACCAAATTTTTGAGCCATTAATCTTAAATGTTAGGTGTGGTGTCATTTAATCTTTGCAAAATATGTGGAGATGTTGGCCAAAATTAGTCTCATTCAGATGAGGAAACTGGGACTCAGAGATGCTAATTGACTAGGCCTAGGCCATTAACTGGGTAAGTGGCCAAAGCTAGCCCAGAAGATCTCAAAGGCTTTCCTACACTATTCTGACTTACTCAGGAAATATTTATTAGCTAGGCATGGTGGTGCATGCCTGTAATTCCAGTGATTCAGGAGGCTGAGACATAGGATAGCAAGTTTGAAGCCAGCCTCAGCAACCAAGTGAGACCCAGTCTCAAAATAATATAAAACGTGTTGAGAGTATAGCTCAGTGGTAAAGTGCCTCTGGGTTCAATCCCCGGTACCACAAAAACAAAACAAAAAACCAACTGACCTCCTGTTTCAGGAGCTCTAGTGAAACTGGACACACCTGTGAACAAACACCTCTGCTCCTGGAAACTGAGTTCCTTAGGGTTAAGGCTAGAGGGCCCCTTTCAGTTATGCTGTTTACCCAAGAGCCCTCATACGGGTGTCCATCGATGCTGTTGACTTACTGATTCTACTGAGTAATTTTCCTGAACTTATTATATCTTATACTTGTGCAAATAACCCATGAAAATAGACCGGAAGTCATCATTTTCAATTTCTGATCAGACACCAAAATGAATATTACTTTTAAAGAGGTGGCCATACATCTTATCCAGCATTTTCCAGAGGCGACTCTAAAGCTGTAATCTGAAAACCTGACTACTCTAAAGCCCTTCCAAATCCTTTGACTTCCACTTTGTTTCCAAATTTCAGTTACAACCTGCATGTAAAATGAGCAAGGGTCGAGGTGTATACAGGTTTAAGCAGCATAGGCCTCACTCAGCACAAAATGTGTGCTTGCTCCTTTTTTCTCCTGAAAGCTCTGAACCAACCAACCAGCCTGATCCAACCACCTGAGCAGGTCATTTGACTCCTCCCTAACCTCTCCTTAGGCCAACTGGATAGCACCAACCACAGGTATCCAGGGCTTACTTGAAAGGTCTCAGACTTACCTATTCAGCCTGATTGTATTCACTTGCTTAAAAAAAAAAAAAAAAAAACTGTTCTAAATCTATCCCCTTTAAAAAGAAAAGCTACTCAGGCTGCAAGTGTAGCTCAGTGGTGGAGTGCATGCTTAGCATAAGCCCTGGGTTCAATCTCCAGCACCAAAAAACAAGGAGGAGGAGGAAAGAAAGAAAAGCAACTAAAAGATTATGAAAGCTTTTTTTTTTTAAACAACTGAAAAACTAACTGCAGCTTATCCAGTCCCAATTCATGATATCATAGCACACAATAAAAGAAAAATGTAGTTAATGACCCAACCCCCATCCCTACATGCACATAAACAATAAAACCAAGAACCAGCTACCTGGACTGTCTCACCTCTAACTCTGGAATAAAAAGTCTCAAGGACTAGGAGAGAGGTTGTTTCAAGGATTCAAAACCCTTTTCAGGTGTGCTGAATGGCATGCTGATTTAACTGATTTTTGCTACCTTCTCACAGGAAGCGGGGGCATAACATTTCTTAGCATAACATTCAAGGACCTGTCATTATTTATAAATAATAAAAAGTCATTATTTAAAATGACTTTTCCCCACCTCTGCAGATTCCATAGGTCACCCTAACCTGGAAGCCAATTTTAAAATCTTCATTTAATGTCCCTACAGTGTTGGATATATGATAAGCTTGCAATTATTTGTCATTTTCCAGAATTGCCAGGATACCGTCCAGGCATGTGATCCCTCTGAACTCTCAGTTCCTTGAGGTCTTTACCTCCAAGATGTGTACTCCACCCAGTGCTACCCACTCATCCCCACTCATAATTGGACCCTAGCCTTTGTCATCACCAGTAGCTCTGCAGCTGCTCACAATTTCAAGTTTCTTGGCTTTTTCCAACTTGAAACTTACTTGGCAAGACATCAGCTGAGGTGAAGACCCCTTTTTTCCTTTTTTGTGGGGGAAGGGGACTAGGGATTGAACCATTGAACCAAGGGGTGCTTGTACCTCCCCATCCCTTTTTATTTTTTGTTTTAAGAGAGGATCTCATTAAGTTGCTCTGTTAGGGCCTCACTAAGTTGCTGAAGCTGGCCTCAAATTTGCAATCCTCCTACCTCAGCATCAGTTGCTGGGATTATAGGCATGTGCCATCATGCCTGGCTCTAAGGTCCCCCTTTCTGACAGCTGTGTCCCCATCCATGCAACTGCCTGTGGTTGGAGAAAAGCACCCCCACTGGACACAACTGGGTTTCCTTCATGATGACAGACCTTGCTCCACCTGCATTTCCTCGTCAGTTCACACTCTGTTTTATGCTTGTGCTCCTCTGCTTCTCCCTCACCTCATCCTTAGCATCCTACTTCATTGAAAATACCAAAGCACTCAAATTTCCCACATTCCCTTCACCACATCTATCCACTTACACATGTTGACTTGTTACATGTCTGTTACATTGATTAGGGGGTCAAACTATGGGCCCTGGGCCCAATCCAGTTTCACTGCCTGGTTTTGTACAGACTTCCAGCTATGGATGAGTTTTTTTTGCAATTTCAAATGGGGAGAGGGACCCAAAAGAATATATTTTGCCATATGAACATTATATGAAATTAACCCTTAGTGATCCTTGGGGTGGTAGCTCAGTGATAAGAGTGCTTGATTAGTATGTGAGAGGTACTGGGTTCAATGCTCAGCACCACATAAAAAATAAGTAAATAAAATAAATGCATTGTGTCCATCTACCACTAATTTTTTTTTTTTTTTAATTTCGTTGAGGGCTGTGGCTGTGGCTCAGAGGTAGCGCACTTGCCCGGCATGTGTGAGGCACTGGGTTCAATTCTCAACACCACGTATAAATAAATAAAATAAAGGTCTATCAAAAACTAAAATAATATTTTAAAAAAATTTTCATTGGCCCTAAATATGGCTCTATTGGACATAGCATGCCTGTTCGTTTGTGCATCGTCTATGGCTGCTTTACAGTCACAGTGGCAGAATATTTTGCACAGAAATCATATGATGCACAAATATAAAAATATTTACTCTCTGGTCCACTATAGAAAGTTTTCAACCTGGGCATGGTGGTGCATGCTTGTATTGCCAGGTACTCCGGAGGCTGGGAGATTTTGAGTTCAAGGCCGGTCTCCGAAACTTAGATTATCTCAAAATAAAAATTAAAAAGTATGTGTGTGTAGAGGGGTAGCTTAGTGATAGTGCTCCTGGGTTTAATTCCCAGTAACAGGAAAATAAAAAGAGGTTTGCTGACCTCTGCTATAAACTATATGCTCTAATCCAAGGCCACTAAATCCGTCTCTTCTCCCCTACTTCAGGATATTGCCCTACAAATTCTACCTTATTTTGCATCATTATTTTTTCTTTGTCCTAATAATTCACTCCCTTTAGTCTACCAAAAATATGTTATTCCTCTAAACCTTAATTAATTAATTGATTAATTAATTAATTTTTTGCTGCCGAGCGCAGTGGTGCACACCTATAATCCCAGCGGCTAAGGAGGCTGAGGGGGGAGGATCACATGTTTAAAGCCAGCCTCCACAATTTAGTGAGGGTAAGCAAGACACCCTGTCTCAAAATAAAAAGTAAAAAGGGCGGAGTGTGGCTCAGTGGTAGAACACCCCAGGTTCAATCTCTTGTTACAGGGAAAAAATTCATTTAAACCTAAACACTACCTTTCGTTCCCTTCCCACCACCAGTCAGTGCTCTCATTTACAGCCCAAACCCCCAGACTCCTCCAAACCTCTCGTATCTACTCCAGCGTCACTAAATCCAGCAGCCATCCTTGATCTCAACTTACCTGATCGAGGAGCAGGCAGTATGTGACACAGTGGTGACCTTTTCTGCCTCAGAGCACTTTATTTTCCAAGTGGCTTCTCATACGCCACGCCCTCTTGATTTTTTTCCCTGCCTGCAGGATGCTTCCTTTTAGCCTGCTTTCCTCTTCCTCTTTTTCTCTTATCACTGGAGGGCCCAGAACTTCTTAGACTCTTTTTGCCCTCTCCTGCAGTCTCAGGGCTGTTAAGACCAGCTCTCCTCCAATCCCTCCCACGTATACCACATCCCCAGCTCAGACCCTCTCTTGAGGCCCTGGCTGCCTTATTCAGCTGCCTACTAGTATGTTCACCTGAGCATCAGACAGTTCAAAAATCAGCATCCTAGGAGAAACCAGGGTCATCTGCACTTGATTACTGCTCTCCCCTCTCACAGGACACTTCATTCTCCTTTTCCCTGAAAAAGTGAGTGCATTTCAACAACACGATGTGTCTACTGGTGATTTCCTTTCCAAGCCAGGCATGATGGCGCATTCCTGTCATCCCAGAAACACAGGAAGATCACAAGTTCGAGGCCAATAAAAAGGGGATGTAGCTTACTGGTAGGGTACACCTGGGATCAATCCCCAGTTTAAAAAATATATATATATTTTTCCTTTTCTAGGCAAAGTTCTCTTTGGAAAATCATATCACAGATCGTGCTGCCGATTTTCCATGCTGACCCTGGGAATGTTCTTTCATTATTCTTACCTGTCTCTTCTTCATTTGCCCAAATTGCCGAAGGCTTGGTGCAGTGTGATGAATAGGCCTTCATTCTGGAGCAGCAGAATGGTGTCGGAGAGCTATGGGAGGAGGCCCAACAATGAGCAGCCACCACCTGGTCTTCGGGTAGAAAAGAAGAGGCAGGCTCTCTCTGTCCTTGTCCTTTGTCCTCTGATCAAGCCTGGCTGACCTTGGGCCCTGTGGGGGCTGCAGAGCCCTTGGGGCTTCTGTTGGTGGTGGGCGTGGTGTGGCGACTCTTCACTCTACTGGTGAAGTCAAGGTGGATGTCCTTGCAAATTCAAGCAGGGGTCTTAAGAGCCTCCCTCCCAGACTGGAAGCCCCCGTGGCTTCTGGCAATTGGACATCCAGACCCAGGTGAGGGAGTGGTCTTGGTGAGAGCAGGGTGCCTCTCCTGCTGGGTGTCACATACCTTAAGGGAGGGTTGTGGGAGAGGGTAGGGCCTCTGGACTACACCCACATCCTGGTGAGCCTGATGTGAAATTCCTGTCAAACAACAAAAATTTCCAATGGCTTGTTCTATGATGAAAAATTCTAGTTACCCCCAGCCTTTTAAATTTTTTGAGACAGGGTCTGGCTAAATTGCTCAGGCTATCCTTAAACTTGGAATAATCCTTTTAACTCAGCTTCCTGAATATCTGGGAATACTGGCATGCATCATACACCTGACTTTCTAATTAAAATATATATATTATATATTATAATATAATTATATATTATAATATATATAATATATAATTATATATATTATAATTTTATATATATATATATATATATATATACATATGTATAATTCTGGCATACTCCTCTCTACCGGCAGCAAGAAGAATCTTTTCAATATATATATATTGAAAATAAAAGTTCAAACCACCCTCCCCTTGTCACACAAATCAATTGTGCCAATCCAAAAGATTCAGCCCAGACTGAAATCTCTCCATTCCCAGCCTGTCTTCCTTCCTTCATTCCTGGCAGCCTCATCCCTCCTTCTGGGCCTAAATCCATGCAATCCCCTTTGGCTGCTGTTTCCCATTCCACCCAGACTGTGTCAGGAAGTCCTGGCTCTCTGTTCACAATTTCTCTAACAACTGACCATTTCTCATGAGATGGAGCCTCACTTCATCAATCTCAGCCAGATGACTTCAATACCCTCTTAACAACTCCCTGTCCTTATCCTTGTCTGGCATAATCCTCTCTACCGGCAGCAAGAAGAACCTTTTATCTTTTTATTTTATATACTTATTTTTTGGTACTGGAAATTGAACCCAGAGGCACTTAACCACTGAACCACATCCCCAGCCCTTTATATATTTTATTTAGAAAAAGATTCTCACTGAATTGCTTAGGGCCTCCTCCCTAAGTTGCTGAGGCTGGCTTTGAACTCACAAGCCTCCTGCCTTAGCCTCCAAGCCACTAGGAGTACAAGCCTGCATACCACTGTTCCTGGAGAGAAGAAGCTTTTAAAATAGAAATCAAATCAAAACCCTCCACCAGGCTTCCATTCCATTCAGAGCAAAAGCCAAAGTCCCTTAGACTTCCAAAGCCCTCTCCATCTTCATCCCCACCCCCAACCACATCCTCCCCCCCTGCCCCGGCCTAGGACAGCACACTGGCATCCCCCCTGCCTCTGGAAGAAGACAGGTCTGCCCGCACCCTGGGCCTTCATACTGACTGTTCCCTCTACCTGGAATGCCTTTCCCTTGAGAGCAGCATGGCCCACCTCCTTGTCACCTTCAAGCCTGCTCAGATGTCACCTTTTCAGTGTGACCTCCCCAGAATCCTTGGCTGTCCTGCTGTTTGACTTTGCTCAGTCAATTTCTGACATGTCCTTATTATGCAATTTGATAGAACACAATGTCAGATCAGATGAGGCAGGCAGCGACAAAAGGAGGTAGATTTAAAAGGGCTGCTGAACAGGCTTTATTGAGATATCACTCCCTCCCGGGCGGAACTCAGTCAGACCCACAGAGGGGACAGGGGAAGGGTCTGAGGAGAAACCGCGTGGAAGCTTGACCGGACTGGACTTTTATGGGGCTTACAGCAGGAAGGGAAGGGCTTGGGACAGGAAAAGGTGTTTCTAGGGTCCCTTGCCCCCTTGGAGTTGGTCAGGGGAGTTGGCTGAACTCCAGGATTGGCCAGGGGGTCCTGCTGATTGACAGGCGTTAGTCACGAGATCTGGCTGATTGACAGGCATTTCCGCTGGCATCTGATTGATGTTCTTTTCCAGCGCGGGCTGCTTTGTTCGTTGCCACTAAGTCGCCATCACCGACCTAACACACAACTTTTACAAGGCAATATGCTTTTGTCTGTTTTATTCACTTTGATTGTTTCATTTCAAGTGCTCAGAATAAAAAGTGTTCAATGAGCCAGGTGCAGCTCAATCCCAGCAACTCAGGAGACTGGGGCAGGAAGATTGCAAATTGGAGGCCAGCCTCAGCAACTCAGTGAGACTATCTCAAAAAACTTTTTTTTTTTTTTTTGTAGCTTAGTGGTAAAGCATCTCTGTGTTCAGTGTCTAGTACTGCAAAAAAAGTATTCAATAAATGGTTTTTGTTGTTGTTATAAACCAGTTTGGTACTGGGGGTTGAACCCAGGGATGCTCTACCACTGAGCTACATTCCCAGCTCTTTTCATTTTTTTATTTTGAGACAAGGTCTTGCTAAGTTGCTGAGACTGGCTTTGAACTTATGATCCTCCTGCTTCAGCCTCCCTTGTCGCAGGGATCACAGGCGTGCGTCACCATGCCTGACTCAATGGATATTTGTTAATTGAGCAAACTGAATATTTGCTTGCTAACTGACTTCACCTTTGTGTGTTTTCACCTAATTTTTCAGTTGGTTGGACAGATATGGATTATCCCCATTTTACCTCCATCAACCCTCAAAAAATTTAACTTGCACAAATCACAAGTTATTAGCTTGAAAAGTGAAATTGGGGATCTAGGTGTACTTAGGAAGATAAGATGTTTATTATTTTTCTAATCAATCAGCTTTTTGTCTTTAACAAATGCACTTTGATCTGAAAAATGACAACTCAGCAAAGGACTTAGGACCTTAATTTAGGATGAAATAAACAGGTTGTGATGAGGGAATGACCTGTCTCTCGGGTGTCCTGAGAGGGTCAGGGGTTCTGGCCTGGGGTGAGACAGGAGACACAGCTGCCAAATGGAAGTCTGTAAAGGTTTCTCCACAGGCCAGGGAAGATGCTGGCAGGGGACATTGTGGTTTTTCTACTTGGCCCCTCCAGGTGTTTTTTCAACAATTCTTACCAGGCTGCTAACAGTAAAGTTTCTAATCTATTCATTTACTTGGATCAATACAGTCAGAATCTTTACCCCAAACCTCTGGGTTCCTCTCTGTCCTATTCCTGGAACAGGCTGCTCTGGTTAGATCGGGAATAGGGGTGGGAGGGAAAGGGAGGGAGAAGGGGAATAGCAAGGATAGTGGAAGGAGACGGTCATCATTATACAAAATTCATGTATGAAGATGTGAATTTGGTGTCACCATACCTTATATATAAACAGAGATTTGATAAATTGTGGTATAAAGGTGTAGTAAGACTTGTAATGCAAAAAAAAATTATGAATGTAATGCACTCCTCTATTGTGATGTATGTAAAAAAATAATAAAGAAAAAAATCAAAATGAGATGAGTGTTTGGCCTTAGCTGTCAGAGGTCAGCACTAAGATGTCAATGAAAGAGTCCTCAGGAGGGTGAGCACAGCAGAGCAAGCCCAAAGGAAGGAGAGGCTGAGTGGGCCTCTTCCCCAGGGCTGTAGAACAGCTTCAGGAGACCAGGCCCCCAAGGTGACTGAGTGACTTAGGGATCACAGGCCCCTGTCTTGCCTGCTCAGTGGAGAATCCTACTGTCTTCCTTCCTCACAAACTTCCTCCCTTTCTCTCTTACTTCTATGCTTCATTCTGGTTTGTTTATGTCTTTGTTTAGTTTTTAAAGCCAGGTTTATTCAAATATAATTTACAAGCCAGGCACAATGGCTCGTGCCTATAATCCCAGCAATTTGGGAAGCTGAGGCAGGAGGATTGCCGCAGTCTGGCTGGGCACAAAATAACCAAGCCGCCACGAGGCACTTGTAGGTTCAAAACAGGAACTCCTTTATTCTCCGAACTCCCGCGAACACCACCCATGCGGCCCTTCCAGAAACACCAACCGGAAATCCCTCCTCCGGAACTTCCCCAACCAACACAAACTCTCCAGGAATTCCCGCGAAAACTCCAAAGTAGAGCTCCAAAGTAGCAGGTGCCCAAGGCCTACAGCAGGGGTCTAATATACAATTGAATACACAGCTTAACATAACCATCATCATCTCAATGGCTTGCTGAGTCACCGCTCAACCACTCCCATCTGGCAAAAATGCCATGCGTCATTCTGACTTGGCTGTGGCTTTCAGCAGAGGATCACAAGTTCAAAGCCAGCCTCAGCAATTTAGTGAGACCCTGTCTCTAAATAAATAAATAAATAAATAGAAATAAGACTGGGTATGTGGTTCAGTGGTTAATCCCTGGTTCAATCCCCAGCTTAATTTATATATATATAAAATTTATGTAGAGTAAAAGTCACCCTTTTCTGGTCTACAGGTCTGTGAATTTTGACAAATGTATTGGGTATATAACCACCCCAATAGAGTTCATTTCCATCAGGATATGGAACATCTTCCCACTCCCCCAACTTTGCCCTGTGCTTCTCAATACTCCATCCTGTCAGATGGCCTCTGTTGATGGTCACCTCTACTGTTTACTAATTGTTGATGAACCCAGCCTAATTCCATCTCAAGATTGGGAGCCATCTCATCATAAAGTCATGAAAAGTTAATTTCTGTTTTACAACCAATTACTGTGATTTCTAAATTTCTTTGGAATTCCTGCCCGTGCCTTGAACTCACCTATGCCTGGCTTTCCCTCACCAGATAACAACCCTCTCTAAAACCTCAGTGGCACCTCATAGATTCTATGTTGGGATCTAAATTTATTCCCTACCTTGAAATGTTAAGCCATGTAGATCATTAACCTGCTATCTGCCTTTGTATTATGCTTGTCAAAATCCTGTTAGCTGTAAGTTCTCAAGACACCCCCCTTTGCAACTTTTTGTGCTATAAAATCTTGTTCCTAGAAAGCTGGGGTGCTGGTCTCTAACCCGTGTGGGGGAGACAGTCACTGATCAGCTCTCTTTGTGTACACAAATGCAAGCTTGCTTTAATTTGATTAAAAATTGGAGTTGGCAAGGCCCCAGGGTGTGCCTTTGGTTCAAGGATTGCTGGAGTGAACTGCCTCACTAAAACAATTAGCAAGCATTTAGGGGAGGAGGCCTCCATAGGTAAGTGGCACCCTTTTGGAGATGGTGAGGTGCCTGGTGAGGCACATACACACTCCTGTCTGAGAGAGGAGTGAAGTGTTGCACTGTCCTCTGGTATTGGTAAAGAATTCCTTCTGTGGGGGACAAACAGGTGCCTGGCGAAAAGAACCAATGCACTCCTGTCCAGGAGAGTAGCGAAATGTTGCACTGTCCTTTGGTATTGGTTTGGTGGGAACAGAGAGGTGTCTGAGGAGGCACATACACACTCCTGTCCGAAGCATTAGCAAGATGTTGCGCTGCTCCCTGGGGTTTGGCGCCTGGTTCTTGTTCTGTGTTTGGTTCTGCGTTCTATATGCTTTTTCTGCCTTTTCATGGTGTGTCTTCTTTAGTAGAAACTTTAGACAATTGAACAACAAAAAGGCTAATAAGACAAGTAAGCCTGATACTCCTTTGAGCTGTGTTTTAAGGAACCTTTGACAAACTTCATCCCCCTTTTTGTTAAGCAGGATTAGGGAAGCAATGTTTTCTTTTCTTCCCCTAGTTGGCTGCCCTTGAGCATACCCACTGCAGGAGGGAGATGCCAGCTGGGGATCTAGGAAATGAATATCTCCTAGAGAATCCTAACCTGCCATCAGGGCACCCTGGCAACCTCTACCCAAATGTACCTCTTGAAAAATTTCTTTGAAACCCCTTGTCCCTCTTGATCAAGAGAGTCACAGCCTTTGGGACAGGAGTCTCCTGTGTTCTTCCTTTGCTAGCAAAGCAATGAAACTTCTTTTCCCTTTTTCTGAAAACCATGTCCTCATTATTAAATTGGCATTAATTGGCTTTGGGGCGAGGACTGGCTTTTCGTTACAAATTTTGACACCCCAGGTGGGACTTGGGGAAGCCTAGCACTCCAAGCAACTATACTTCCATGCTGAGGATGTAAGATGAACTTTTTGAGAGCTGACTACTGGAAAGTTAGGAGACAGGTGAGTGTGCCTGGGGTCAGAGTGAACCAAAGGAGCTAATCCTGTAAGTAAAGGGAGGGACTGAGGGACTCCCAGCAGCTGCCAAGCCCCTTTTGCTTCGGGAAATTACAGCCTTCCTTCCCTGCACTGTAAAGATTGCTCCATCTTTATAAAATAGACACTAGTATTGCTGTGTGTAAAAACGTGGCTATATAACCAATATGATTCTGCAACCTGTACACTTGGAAAAATGAGAAATTATACCCCATTTGATTCAAATGTATGATATGTCAAGATCATTGTATTGTTATAAGCAACTAATAAAAAAATAATAAAAGGATCAATCAATAAATTAAAACAAGTATGAATAAAAAAAAAGATTGCTCCATCTTTGTCTACTTAAAAACAAGAAAAAAGAAAGAAAGAAAGAAACTGAATGCAGTAAAGTCGCCACCCAAGACCCTTGATTTTACACTTCTGGTTCCTCTTTGTGGGAGCATCTGGTCCACTCGTGGGGAAATCTGTGGTGCTAC